GGCAATAAGAGAACAGAACCGGAAAGCTAACAGCCAGGGGAGCATCCCCAGACCACCAATCTAACCAAAAACGAACAGCAGACCCATTACCCACACAAAACTTAACGTGCTCCAAAAAAATCGGCCGAACTTTAACAAGGGCTTTCCAAAACTGCGAACCACGCCGCGCAGGGGCAAACATAGGGTTGGAGTTAGGAAAATCTTTAGCCTTAAGAATCGAAAACCACAGCACATCGGCCCCAACCGTCATAATTTTCCACCACCACTTAATGAGCAGACAAATATTCATCACCCAAGTATTAATAATGCCTAACCCCCCAAGGTTTTTAGGCTTGCACATAAGCTGCCACTTAACCAACCTATACTTTCTTTTGTTATCTGCAGAATTCCAATAAAAGCCACCCCTATGTTTGTCGAAGCCAGCATGCACACCATCCGTGAGACGGTAAAAGCCCATAAGGAACATCGGGAGAGAGGATAAGCAAGAATTGATTAGAGCCACTTTGCCAGCATTGGTATTATACTTACCCCTCCAAGGAAGCACCCTATTCCCCACTTTAGCAACCACCGGAGCGAAGTCATTCGCGTGAAGCGGACCAGGAGAGATAGGAAGACCTAAATATTTGAAAGGAAAGGAACCTAAGGAGCAGTTGAGGAGCCTGGCCACCCGCAAGGCCTCCGCCCGGTCAACCCCCGTCACCATAACCTCACTCTTGGCGAAATTGATCTTAAGACCAGAAACAGCTTCGAAACACAACAGAATAAATTTCAGATTGGCAATACAGGCATTGTCCAACTCTACCAGGATGATTGTGTCATCCGCATATTGCAAATGAGAGACCCCTTCCGGAAGTAGGTGAGAGACCACAGGAATAATGTGTCCACATCGAGCCGCTTTGGAGAGCATACAGGAGAAAGCGTCTGCCACAAAGTTGAAAAGAACAGGGGAGGCCGGATCCCCTTGGCGGAGGCCCCTCCCATTCGCAAAGAAGTTGCTAATTGCGCCATTTACGGCAACTGCAGTGTGGCCACCCGAGACCAACTGCATGATACGGTGAACATAGGCATCGTCGAACCCTTTGGCAAGAAGAATCTGCCTGAGAAAAGGCCAGCTAACCGAGTCATACGCTTTTTCGAAGTCTAGTTTGAGAATAATAGCTTTGGATTTCCGCACATGGAGGTCATGAACTATCTCATGAAGGGAGAGAATACCATCTAAAATAAAGCGCCCTTTGATAAAAGCAGATTGGAAGGGACTAATAACTCTGTGAGCTATCGGAGACAGCCGGTTCGCAAATCCTTTGGAAGGGAACTTGGCAAAGTTGTTAATCAACGCTATAGGCCGGAATTGGGAAATGACATCAGCACCCTTTACCTTAGGGATCAGGGATATAACAGCATAGTTCAGGCGAGAGATGTCGACAGTACCAAGACAAAAACCCTGAATAACGTTACACACCAACTGTTTCAACTGGGGCCAAAATTTCCGAAAGAAAGGGATGGAGAAGCCATCAGGCCCGGAAGCAGCATTAGTATTGGCAGAATTAACCACATCCCAGATTTCCTGATCGGAGAGCGGAATCATCAAGGAAGCATTCTCCTCAGGAGAAATTTTAGGACCAGAACTCCAGAGGTGGGGGGAGATGGACAGGCCCGATGGAGGTTTAGCCCTTAACAGAGACGAAAAGAAGTCCACCACGTGAGCCATAATCATAGATTGGTCTGTAGAGCATATACCATTAATCAATAGGCTATTAATCTCACAACGCCTACGCCTACCGTTTGCAATCGCAAAGAAATAAGCAGTAGGAGCGTCTCCTTTGAGAGTCCAATTAAGGGTGGCCCTCTGACGCCAGTAAATCTCAGCCTGATGATGCAGCTGCAGAAGAGTGGCCTCCAGATTATAGCAAACAGCCCAACCATCATCCGAGAGCCCAATAGAGTCCGCAGTACAATCCAGCTCCAGGATCTGATTTTCAAGGAAGGCTTTGGAGCGGCGATCCTCCGCCGCACGGTTACGCGACCAGCCTCTAAGAAATTTTCGTAAAGCATAGGCACATGACTGCCAATCATCCAGAGGGCCAAAAGAGCGGGGGTTGTGAGAGAGGGATTGGGAGATTTTCGCCGCAACCATGTCAACAAAGCTCTCAACAAACAGCCAAGAAGCATCAAACTGAAATCTAGTTGGAGGTCTATTGCGAATGGAACCATCATCCAGAATCAAGGGGGTGTGGTCTGACCCCTCAATACATTTAGCTACAAGAGAGGACCTACGAAACAAGGCATCCCAACTGGGACATAGGAAGACACGATCAAGCACAGATCTGATAGGGTTCGCCTGATGATTAGACCAAGTAAAGCGGGCTCCCCCCCGAGGAAGCTCCCGAATGGCGTTGACACTAATAAAGTCATTAAAAGCATTGGCTAAAGACCAGGAAAAATTATCATTATTCTTGTCAAGAGGGCATCGCAGAAGATTAAAGTCTCCCCCAATCACCGTCGGAAGAGAACAGGACTCAAGCTTGATCGAAAGTTCATCAAGGAAAAGGTGCGAAAAGGAGTGATCCGCGGGCCCATAAACAACTATAAATTTACAGAGGGCATTCATAGATCTATGCGAGAGAACAACACTAGCCCAATAAAACCCGTGATCAAAAGCAACAAATTCAAAAATATCCTTATTAGAACCGATCAGAATCCCACCAGAGTGGCCCGAAGCCGGTAAAGATTGCCACTGAAATCTATCCATACCCACGATAGCAGAAAGCTCACTGGGGGTAAAGGAGTCCTTAAACGTTTCAACCAGCCCCACAAAGTCAATAGAGTTAGAACGAACCAAATCTTTCAGTTGATCACGGCGCCCCCTAGGACCGAACCCTCTAATATTCCAGAATAAGGCCCTCATTTATACGAAAGTTTCTTGATACGGAGGCTCGACCTGCTGGGGGCCACACAGGTTTTAGATCGTTTATTAGTACCCCTCTTAGCAAGGCAGGATGAGGGCTGGCCACTACCAGCACCCGAAGCCTCCCCCACAACACAACCAGCATCCGCCACCCGCGAGGCAACAGCCTCTTTGGCTTTCGCAATGGTAGCTTGGGCCAGTTCATTAGCCCCAATAATAGCAAGGAGCGAACTGGGAGAGCCAACAGAAGTATCAACCACCAAACCCACGTCCGACATAATGTTTAAAAGATGATCATCAGACATCGAAGGTAAAACCACCCGAACCGGAGAAACAGCGACCGATGGGGATGGGGAGGTACCTGGGGGAGGGAGGTCCTTCGCCGCAGCCCGCTTCTCCGCCCTTTCCAGAATCGAGCCACCAGAATGTGACACCCGCCTACCTTTGCGGGCCGTGGACACCGGGGAGCGGATAGCAGGCGACCGCGCAGCAGGAGAGCCAGCGTGCGGGCCCGAGCGGGACATGGAGCCCAGATCATGATCAAGACGCCGAGAGATCCCCGTCATAGATTGCTTCGAGCCCGAGGAGGTCCGGCTCTTAGCCGAGTACTTGCGAACTGAGGATTTCTTCTTCGAGGGGTGTTGTGATTCCACCATATAATGAGCAGGAGAGCCAGGGAGATCTTCAATACCCGAACGAGTGGGGGAGATAGGGCGAGCCGGGAGGTTGGAGCATGCAGCAGACACAGGAGTAGCCGAGCAGGGCGGAGCTTTAGGCAGATCAGCAGCAGCAAAGGGGGCCATCTGGACTGAAGGGGAAATCACTACTTCTTCACGAGGAGCATCACCAGCAGGCGCTTGAGAATGAAACATCTCATGTTCTGAATCTGCCAGGCTATCCCATTCAGATTGAGTGAAGCGGAGATTAGACCCAAAACTCTGATTGGGGCCACCAAAAGAACCATCCCCTTCCTTGTCATGTTTATCCGAAGGGTTAGCAGGAGGAGGGGGGGAAGGTGGAGCATGAGCCGCCGTCGCCCCCTCCACCCGCACCCGCAACCTGATGCCATTGGGAGAGGGATAGACATCAATGAAGCCATGCACCCGATCAGGATCAACACACCAGACCTTCAACCGAGCAGGACCAACCTTGTTCAAAGACTCCTCATCCACCTCGATGGGTTTCCCAATCAAAACCCCAAAGGACATGAGGAAAACAGACGAGCGCAGACAAGCAGGTAGATCTTCAATCAACACCCACACTTGAGACAGAGGGCCAACAGCAGTACCGTTGGATGCAGCCGCTTTCACAGAAACCACCAGTTGATTAAGAGGTAAGGTGAAGCTGGTGCAGGAGGCAATCATTCGCAGGCAATCTTTGGAGGGGAACACCACAGAGAAGTCTCTCAATATTGAGTGTTTAGATACAAGAAAAATACCATAGTACTCTCAATATTGTATTTTTTGGAGTCTTCGTAAAAGAACTTAAGACTTCTTCTTGTTCTAAAACGAAGAAAAACATGATTGTGTCAACATCTCACACATCTCACATGCATTTGTTTCATATCGTGCATCTCTTCTAGGCTTGGTTCGTCAGGCCCATTAGGACATGTGTAGTGGTTGATAAGGCAGTTTTATCTTAAGCCTGCCACACAAATATGTGGGTGGGTCGCACAGATAATTGCTTTGCAAGGGAGGATTGCGTGTGCAGGAACTTTGTAAAACTTGGTTTTGTATTCCGCTGGAGTTCATTTGCGCAGGTTTGGACTTGGATCGTGCCAAGATGAATGAGTAAAACGCAACCTCTTCAAGCTCAAAACAGAAAAGAGAAGAAAGAACAAGACCAGAAAAGTCCATAAGCTACCAGTACCTGTATCAGATACAGTTGTGTTGATGGAGATGCAGCCACCGGGGATGGAGTAATTGCCGGTTGTTCCTGGCGGACACTGGCATGTGAAGGATCCTTCCGTGTTGATACATTCACCGTAGCAAGGGTATGTCTGTGGCAACTTGCACTCGTTGTCATGTACGTGTAAGGTTCATAACACAAAAGCAACAACATAAGCTACCTAGCACTAATTGGTCAATCAGTACAACTAATAATGAAATGTACTGGGCCACTTGCCTTTGCACCCGTCGGTGAGGTATGGATTTCCATGGTAACCTCGACTGCAGCGGCACACATAGCTTCCTCTTCGTGTTCCCTTTATGTGCTCGCTGTGGTTGCTCTTGCAGACGCTGCTGATGGGATGGCCAACAACCTCCCACCTCAGAGTAACAGGCACTGCCATTGCCTCCTTTGACATGGGGTGATCTATCTGTAGCAAATCCTTTGAGATGGAGGTGTTGTCGTACCACCCCTTCTCAGCGATAAACACACGCACGGGGAATCGCTCCAGGTCCGCGCTACGGTTCCAACCGAACCATCTGAGCTGCACGTCATACTTGGACGTGCCGGTGCTGCTGATGCTGTACGCTTCGCCCTCGTCGTAGCCGGCCGGCGTGACGATATCAGTGTGGCAGCAGCCTGTGCCGCCGGAGCATCGCTTGGTCAGGCTGCTTTCATCCTCTGCTGCTTGTGGCGCCAGGTCTTCTTTGCAGAGCGAGGTGAAGCTGGCCAAGGTGACGTTGCCATTCTTGACTGTGGCTTGCACGTTGCAGCCCGTCAGGATGAGCTCGTTCTGGTAGCTCGCCAGCGTGTATGGGCCGTGGCGCCTAAGGCCTCGGCTGAATGTGCTGTTGCCGTTGCCATGGGCATCAACGCTGATTTTTACGTCGCCGTTACGTTGAACGTCCAGTAAAGGGATCTCAGCGTTGTCGGAGATCCGGAGAACTTGGATGATGCCGTCGGCGTCGAGCAGCAGCCATGGCTTTGAGCCGGTGGTGTTGCAGATGAGACTGAACCCCGGCAGGTAGCAGCTGGCGTCGGGGCCAATGCCGAACGGGTATGGCACCTTCACGCCACCGCAGGACGTGACGCAGTTGAGCATCCCGATCGGATCACTTGCTGCTGCTGCTGCTCGTCCAACGGAACTGAACACCAGCATCAGCAGTAGAGCCGTTGACGGCTTGACGCTATGGCTAAAGCCGAGATGGTGTTGTGCGCCATTGCTATGAATGGATGCTTGAACTGTGGCTGGAGCCCTAGCTTATAAAAGCTAGCCTGGCTAGCCATAGATTCATGCATGCTGGCGCCAGTTGTTGTACGTACGCGGATCCAGCAGTTTCACATGGAAAAGATGCAACCACCAGTGATGCCGAATTACCGAGTCGACCAAGTCAATCCATTCCCATGGCAGCTGTTCGCAAGCTGCTGCTTGTTGCCGAACTTCAAAGGGCTGGCGTCTGCTCCAAACCGTGTGAGATTCCTTCTCTCGAGGAGATGATGAGAACAAGCCATTTCGGTCCAGCCAGAGGAAGACACGTGTATTTGAGCATCATAAGTTTCCACCGATAGCCGAATTAACTCGCGTGAAAGAAATGTTAACGCTGGTCGTCTCAGTCGTCTTAACAATAAGGCCACCTTCAAAGTTTAGTCCGACCTCGCATATAGACAAGCAACAAGACCTGTTTAAATATAAATAGTGGGATAGTCCAGATGCAGTAAGCTTTGGTATTCATTACACTCTTGTTAAGGAGATGGACTATTGTTTTATAATGTAAAAAATGTCCGCCTAGTTTAATAAATGTTTATTTCTGTTAGAAGGGAGAGAGGGATTGGTGGAATAGTCTTTGTATTGCTTGAGCCTCGTGGGCATATATATAGGAGTACAATGATCTACTTGTACGGTGAGACTGGAGAAGAATCCGAAGGCAAGCCGACAGACACCCCCCACAGTTGTAACGGTCGACGCATCGCGGAGTCGTGGCTGGAGTGGCAACCGACGAGGTTGCTCAAGCAAGGCGATAGCCCTTTGTGCCGTTTGTCGAGGTAGCCGAGAGCGTGGGTGGTGGAGCCGTGGTCGAGGTAGCCGTGCGAAGAATGGCGTGGTCGATGTCGAGTCGGGGTAGCCGGTGTCGAGAAAGTCGTCGTGGAGCCGCGGGCGCAAGAAGGCGCCGAGTTAGTCGTCGGCGCAGTGGTCTCGAAGTAGTGGTGCGCCAGGAAGTAGATGATGTTGACGACGCGTCGCGCCGGGGTTGCCAACCCCGGGGACACATCGTAGACGAAGGCACGCGTCGGTGTTGCCAGCACCGGGCATGCGTAGACGGACGAAGACGAAGTTGACGAAGCGCCGCACCAGGCTTGCTGGGCCCGGGGACACGTCGTGGACGAAGGCACGCGGCGGTGTTGCCAGCACCGGGCATGCGTAGACAGGGACCTGCACGAGCTGTACGCCATGTCAAAGAAGTCGGAGAGGCCAGCAAAGAAGGACTCGACGACGGTTGCGGCGCCAATCGGCGCGGGGCCAATGTCGGCCGCGGTTGTCGGAGTAGATGAAGCGGTCGGGGTAGATGACGGCGACGCTGGTGATGGGCTGGTGCTGGATGAAGACGAACGGGGTCGACGGGCATCGGCGGCTACGGGGGTAGCAGCGGCGGTGGCCGAAGAAGAGCGGCGGCGGCGGCGGCCTGACGGCGGCGGCGGCGGCCTGACGGCGGCGGCGGCGGCCTGACGGCGGCGGCGGCGGTTAGGTTATGAGTGCGGCGGCGATGCTCGAAGTAGGCGAAGAACCCTGACAGCGTGACGAAGACCGGTCCGGACGGTGGCGTTCCCGCGCCAAAGGAGGTGGTGCGGCGCATGCCACAGGAAGTCGACGCGCGGGGACGGCGGTGGACCGCGGGCCGCGGTGCTACGACCCGAAGGGGCGATGCAGCGGCGGTGGGCCGGTCGGGGCAACGACGGAAGACCTCGGGACGGTCGCAGGGACCGCGGGCCGCGGTGCTACAGCCCGAAGGGGCGGCACAGCGGCGGAGCGCGGGGTGGTGCAACCGCGTGAATGGCCTCGAGACGGCGGCGTGGACCGCGTGCCACGCTCGCTACAGCCCGACGAGGCGACGCAGCGGCAGCGCGAGGGTCGGTGCAGCCACGGGGACGGCCTGGAGCGGACGGCCTCGGGGCGGCGATACACCGCGGGCCGCGGCACTACGGCCCGAAGGGGCGACGCAGCGATGACGCGGGTCGGTGCAGCCCGGAGAAGAACCACGGGGCGGCGGCGCTGCGGCCCGACGGGGCGACGCAGCGGCAGCCCGTTGCTCGATCGATGGAGGGGCGCGCTGAACTCGGAGACGATCTTCACGGGACCTGCGGAGGCGCGCATAACTGACGAGCCAGGTCAGTCGCGCGGCGTAGATGAGGCGGATCGCGGCAGCGAGCGGGTGATCAAGCCGATCGCGGGCAAGGTCGGGGACGCCGCTCGGTGGAGGCGTGGTGGCGGCAGAGTCCGAGATGAAGCCGGCAGCGACAGGCGGCAGGGCGGCTATGATTGGCCGCCGCATGGCGCGAGGCCGCCGGGTCGGGGTGATGCAGGAGTCCCGGTCGGAGCAGGGCGGTGACGGCCGGCATAGATCGACAGGCGGGCCGGCGCGCGGACGACGGCCTTGAGGGCTGCCTGTCACGCGAGGCCGCCAGGTCGGTGAAGTAGCCGGCCGGTTGCGCCGATGTCGGAGTAGAGGCGCGAGGTGTCGACGGCGGCGGTGGGCGACGCAAACCGATCAAGAAAAGATCGGATAACCAAAAAGTAGACGCCGATCAAAGCGACCGACGAAAGAGAGAAAAGCCCAAATCAAAGGATCGGGAAAAACACTCTCTAGGGCAGCCGGCCAACACGGCCGGCGGACGAACCCTAGGTACGGGCGGCGCGGCCCCCGGCGGCGGTCATGGAGGCCGACCGCCTCGGGGGCGGCGCGCAGGTGCGGAAGCGGCGGCGGCTAGGGTTTAGGATCGACTTGCGATAGATACCATGTTAGAAGGGAGAGAGGGATTGGTGGAATAGTCTTTGTATTGCTTGAGCCTCCTGGGCATATATATAGGAGTACAATGATCTATTTGGAGTACAAGACAAGCCAGAACAAATCCTAGTCTATCTCGTCTTTCCTAATAAACATTATATTCAACAATTTCCATTGAAAATGTACAATGTGTATATGGAATATATTACTGTGTATTCAAAACATGTATTTTTTTAAATGTACATCATGTATTAAAAAACATGTCTTATGGTGTCTCAGAAAAGTATTTTACATGTGCTCTTAGAATATACATTGTGTACTAACATAGATCAACTTGCTCAATTTAAGATTATCATTACTAAGAATACTAGAGGAATTACCTCGAAAAGTAGATGGCACCTCAAGATGTTTCTTCCTTTGATAAACAGTATTCTCGGCCAAAATCTTTACTTTGTCATGATTTTTCGTCTTAGGCTTCTGAACCAAGACAGGGGATCCATTTGTTGTGAGAGGTTGCTGGCGTAGTTTTAAGCTTTTTATCAAACTCATCCTCTAGAGACACCATGAGGGATCTTTTGCAATTTTAAGAAGTCATCATTTCCACGGCTTCATGAGGTACGGTATCCATGTCTTCCCCACAATATCAATATTTTCATCATCAGACTGAACCACATCCACTAAATTAAGAAAACTAACACATTAATCCATGTTTTTTAGTTGGACCCCTCCCAAACTCAAATTCAGAATTCACACTTTCCCCGAATTGGAAACCACCTCCTCAGATTGAGCAACTAGCATATTTGAATCACGAAACACTTGTTTCTTAAATTCCACAATGGAAACTTCATGACTATAGTTGGACAAAGCGGCATGTGGAAATTCAGGTCTAGCATTGACTTTCTTTAAGGAGGATCCCCTAGGAGGACCCTGCCCCATCGTAAAATTGGCATTGTCTAGATCATCAATGAAATGACCCCCATATTTAAACCATTCCATATGAATATCATCCACGGGATCATTCAGATCATCAGTCTTCTTATCATCGTCGCCTTGGTCATCATTTTCATCCTTATAAGGGTCAAATGTATCCACCTTATTCTGTCAAAAAAAATGCATCCACCTTTTGAAAACCTTCCACAATAAATCCAAGCAAGGAAAGCTTCTTCTTCATCTCAATCAATCTCTCAAAGGGAGTATTAGTAGGATATCTCGCGGCCACTTTGGTTCTGACTTGAGGAAACACGCTTATAAATATGTCATTTCAATCAGCATTATGGAATGCCACTTTCGTTTTGACTTGAGAAAACACATTCCAAGTGTTGGTGGAATGGCATGCATAACAATCTAAGCTTCAATGAATTCATCGAAAGCATCAATGACACAATTCCATTCGGTCACCTTGATAGTAACCCGATCAACTGGTAAATCAAATGCAGGAAAATCAAATAGATCATCGGCCTTCTTCCATGGGGGAAATTGGATCATGAAACTTTTGCTGGACAATTCTCTGACTTGCCAGAACCACTGACACTGCTTGCTGAAATAGAAAATAGATGTCAAACAAATCTTGCCAAGACACTCTCATTCGATGATATTAACTACATCGAAATTCCAAAAATACAGCTAAGTTGTTTGATTAGCAACTGGCCCATCAACATGGTATAACTCTAAGCCCATGGCAGCACTACCAAAGAATGTAGATATCTGATGGGTTTTAAGCCAAGCTACACAATTATTCACATTGTGTCCTTACTCATAAATAAAGCAAGATTTTATGTTCAAACTATTCCCAACATAATGTCCTGTATCACCACAATTGAAGCAAATCATATCACTATACCTAGGATCTAATACTTGCTCAATTTATGGCGTAGGAGCACCAAGAGCATTGTTCACCTGAGTTGTGGGCTCAGATTCAGAAGATCTCTATGGAGCTTCTTGAAGTGGATCCCAACCACATGTGGGGCTTGCTTCTGGGCAACGGGTGGATTTGTGCTCAGAGGATTCTTCTGATTTTTCCCAGCCGCAGCAGTATGTGCACACTTATCAACCATCTTCTTCCTGACCACTTCTGCAAATGATAGACATCCCAGGCCTAATCCTTCATTAGTGATGCAAAATTGAGTAGGGATAGGATCGAAAGTAGAACAATGACTGG